CACCAGTGATGAAATGTGGGCAGGGAGGAACACACAACCTATAACGTGGCTTGCTCTTGCCCTTGAAATGCTTAGTCTTAACGTGAACCTTAGACATAGCTGGAGCTTATTCACAACTGACAGACAACAATAAATATGACTGACACACACAGAGCGCTTCGCTGAATGACAGAAAGCTGACGCCGGCTCCGCCACACGTGCTTTTATAGCTTCCTGGTCATGACATCACCCACCCGTGACGTCCCGCTCAGCTATTGGACTGATTTCACATGTGATTCAGAGCGTGGTCACAGAAGGCATTCCCGTAGCGTTTTTTCCAACGCAGCTTGAGTTCCTGAAGAGGAACTAGTGTTGTGGCCCTCCAGGAACTGAGTTTTTTCCCCTTGATCTAAAACCTTCAAATGACAGCTCCTATCTCCAAAACCAAACATAAAAACATGCAACACATACAAGACGTGTGTGTCCACCAAGTGGCTCTCTCACACTAAATGACATCCACTCTGGTCACACTAACACAGCAGGGGCTCACCAAAAATAAGGTTGTGAGTCTTGAAAATGTATGGGTAAATAACCAATCTGCGTGTGAATGCAACTGTATTAACGACTCAAATACAGGAGTAACAACCGTGTTCTGTTACTGTGTGAACGTGGCCGCAGAGCTCCCCACTCATATGTGATTGGGGTTCTCAAGAACAGTGAGTTGGAAGGTTGGAGTATGGAGACGAGGAGAACAGCAGGAGCTAAAGAACAGCACAACTAGAGAACACTGGCTGAAGTTGGACATCTCTTTTTTTTCTCTCTCCCTCTATCTTCATGTGTCTTTCGTTCTGTCATCACAAATTCTCCTTCCAACTGTCTCTCTCTTTTTTTTTATCTGTGATATTTCGGTATTTCTCTTCTCTCATCTCGTGAGTGTCTTCCTCTTTTCCCTTCTGTTGTCGTTCTGTCGTTCTCCGCCCCTTCCTCAGAGTCTCCTGGCATCCGCACGTTACAATTTTCTTTTTGTTGTTGTTCTATTTTCCACACTGTTGTGTGTTTCACATTACTATTCATATCCTCTATTATTCTGTTTCTTTTTTACCTTGAAAATGATGGCAGGAAAATGGCGGCTTTACTTCCGGTAGGGTATTATTTTTAGAACAGATTTTGCACTCACACAGTCCTGTGCTGAGAGAGCGAGAGAGTTTGCCTGCCCTCCTGACATCCTGTAACAAAACACACATTCTCGAACATGTATACAAACCTATTTTCTCTTTATGTGTGTGTGAGTGTGTTTCTCTGGCCTTTGGGAGTCTGTGTAGAGTGAGATGTAACTGGAAGGTTGCCATGCTCCACACATAAATCCAATTCCATATATTTTTTCTTCCATCGGTCTGACATGATGCCCCAGGCTGCCCACGCTACACAATTCAGCACTACCACAGAACCGTGTATGTGTGTGGTACACTCAAGCCCTTGTTTTAGACAGACCTTAAATGCCCCCTCTAATCCTCCATGCGCACACACACACACACACACACCTCAAAGTGAAGGAAGACTAGACAAGAATTGATCTACACTCCCAAACAGAACTGATCGCAGGGAGATGTGGGACTAATATGTCCATAGCTCTGTCTGCCTCTCTTTCAATCCATCAATCTCCATTTTTAAACATGTACACCCAGTGGGTCACTTCTTCTGTGAAGTCAAATGTCTTATGTACAGTCACACACAGACAGGGAGTACCGCCGCTCCCTATACGCAGAGTACGCAGTTTTATAATTATAAAAATTGCATTTTATGATGAACGCAGTAGGCAGTATAAGCACACTTGATGCGCCATTCCCGCATCTGGCCCGCGCTCGCTCTCACCTCATGTTTGCGGCTGAATACAAATGATCATCATAATTAATGGACAACTAGGCTATATCAGGGAAAAGACATCAGCGCAGAAAAAAAGTTTGAGATGAAGCCCGTGCATCACTTTCAAGTAACTAATGTTACTTTCATAATCCTGTGAAACGTTTTGGACTGTTGACATTAGTAACGTGTTTTAATGTCGGTAATAATTTCACCACCAACAACACATCTGACTTAATATTCTGGTTTCCATGACTTAAAATTTATTATATAAAAACTACGAGGCAATATAAGGTATATGGTTTAAATATGGTTTCATTGAATAACACTGTTAAAATAAATAATGTAATACAACATAAACCAATTTACATTATTACAAATGCCTGCAAAGGGCACCAAAGGCTTAATAATTGCTCTTGTTACACTTACAGGACGATCAAATCCTTGTTTAATATTGACCAAACATTTAATTCAAATATTCACTTAATTTTTAATTTTTTGGCCACCTTTTTGTGATAGAAATGCTACAGCCTCTTTAATTTCTTCAACAAAAACATGTGGACATCACAACCCTTACCGTGGTTTTAAAATGAACCATGGTTTTATTGTAGTAAAACTGCTTAATTTTATTTTGTGTGATTTCTTAATGCTTGAGACCATAAAATCAATCAGATAACTGTATTAATAAAATCATAGCCATAGGTAACTGTCTAGAGCTACAATTGTAATTCATAAATAATACAATTGAATTACAATTTTTTTTTTTTTTTATATTTGATTAAAGTTCTATTTTGACCCCTTATAGTAGGTGTTTCTATTTTGACCCCTTATAGTAGATTTTTTATTTGTTATTTTTTTTGAGGAAGTGGGCACAACAATACTATTCTGCTTAGGGCACCCATTTGGCCAACAGTGGCCCTGCAGACAGGCATGTGCTCTGTTCTGACAAGCAAAATACAATACCCAAATAAAGGACATTTAAGATGTTGGAACCATGGCTTAGCAGTGCATTTGGCGTTGGTGCTCATATGGACAGTGTGGGTTTGAATATGACTTGCAACATTTCCCTATGCCATTCCTCCTCCTCATTTTAGTTTATAAGGCCAAAATAAAAAACAATTTTACAGCAAAGAAAAAAATAAGGCAGAGTGAAAATGAAAACGAGTGAGAGAAAGACAGACCTTGTGTCCCTGGCTGCTAATATTTAATTTACCAGTCTTCACAATGAGAAAGATCCAAGTGACTGCGATTAAACCAAAACTACTCACTGACTACCTCTCTTTTGCTCGCTCTCTTTCCCTCCCTGGTCTCTCGCTCCGGGTGAAATGTTGTGACAGTGTTGCGCTGATGTTGTAGGGGGTTAAAGTCACCAAGTGCATATTATCCTGTAAGGCTTAATATGCAGGTTGAAGCGCGAGGGCCGACTCTTAAATTACAGTTTGCCGGGCCTAGCACTCAGCGTGACAACAATACCCACACAGACACTGTGTTACGTCTACACACACACACCTATACACACACACGTGTGCTCGTGCTTAGCTGTTGTATGAATATTCATTCAGCAATATATTTTTGTGACGCAAATAATCACACATCCATACACACACAGCCGATGCTGTGTGCACATACTTCATTTTATTGTCATATCACATGGCCATGACATTCACACAGACGCACGCTGAATTTATCTTTGTTTCCAGCCATTGTCTTTGTTTGTCTGTAGCTACTATCTGTGTGTGTGTGTGTGTGTGTGTGAGCTGCTTGTTATAGTGATGGAGTGTGTGTGTGGGCTGCCGAGTCAAGCCTGTCCTCTCCACTTTCATAAATCTGCATTGGATGAAGCTCTCGAGCCATAAAACACATCGATCGCCATCCTTCACACACACACACACACATACACACACACACACACACACACACACATACACACACTTTCTTCCCACAGGGTAATCCTGCTTTCTATAGGAACGTTGTGTCTTGTTGAGTGAGTTTTGAATGCACAAGTGTGTCCTAATATAGAGGGATAAACAAGACACATGGCAGTCAACTAATGATACCTCAGCATAAATATATAAAGACATCTTCACATTTTTAATGAGTCACATGTAGGTTTGTTCTTAAAGTGTGTTTGTATCTGTGTTTGTGTCAGACAGAGTGTGTTTTGTGAGTTTTTATATTTCCAGTTCAGTTAGTTTTCTCATAACAGTGCGGTTGGCCCAATCCACATGCCCTGCCTGCCTGGAGAAACTAGGACACACACACACAGGGACTGACTGGCTGTTCTCACACACTGACATACTTTGCTGTTGTTATTGTGTCCAGGATGTGCAGTTTAGCAGAACACACACAAACTCTGCTTTTACACTCTAAATACACCTAAGTCATCCCAAAGGAACATTTTATTGCTTTTAGGTTGCTCTTTTATAGCAAGGAGACTTCTCAGTTGTTTAAATTAAGTATCAACCTCTTCTTATATGTTCCTGATGATGTATACAAACCTGAGAAGGCATTTTGCCCCCAAGGAGAAACAATTTAGAACCTTATCTCATAATTTGAATTCAAATAATGTGTATATAAATTCTAAAACAAATACACACACAATCAGTACATCAAACATCTTATTTGTGAATTTTCAAAGTCTTTTGTGTCAGAAACATTCACAGCTAAAATGTACTGAATTGAATAAAAAAAGACTGAAAGTGAAAGAGAAGCATTCACACACTTCTGGTTGCTGGGTGAGTGCTGCATTGTAAAATACAGCCTTTGTGAATGTACAGATAAATCAGAGTCAGGCATCGCTGATGTGAAGTGACCGTGACAGTAATATACTGTTACAATAACATACACATCAAATATTAAAACACTCTCTCTTTCTTACTTTGTAATGGATTACTTGCTGTGTCCTTCACAAATTCATATTAGTTTTTGAATGTGGTGACTATAAACATATTTCTGGATGATTTGTAACTCCAGTTTTTTTTTTTTAACCAGTTATAACGGTTTGGAATTTTGTAAAAGTCTAATGACGGATTCTGAATAGAATAACTGATCTGTGGTTGAAGAGTTGCATATGAAGTTGGTACTAAATGGACTTTTGAAAATCTTCTTTTTGTCGGCCAATAAAATCAATGTACATATCATCTGTTCTCCTCTCTCTTCAGGTAACAGGTTTTTCCTGACATCATATGGGGCCCTCTACATATCTGATGTTCAGAAAGAGGATGCCCTCTCTACCTACCGCTGCATCACCAAGCACAAGTACAGCGGAGAAACCAGGCAGAGCAACGGGGCTCGTCTCTCTGTGCTGGGTGAGCATGTGGGTTTATGTCAGTTTGCTGGGCAGTTGACACATCTTTGTCATATTTGTCAATCCTAATGCACTAAGCATATTCTCATAATTGGATTTGTTACTGTCTTGGATACATTTCTTTGAGAAATAGCATTGAGATCCTAATTTATGTCATTCATTTTTAAAGAGAGTGTTCCCTACATTTTAACTGTATATGTCTTCCCTAAAGTCTATTTATGATGTTAGTCAATGGTTCTTAAAGGGGTCATATGATGCGATTTCAAGTTTTCCTTTCTCTTTGGAGTGTTACAAGCTGATTGTGCATAGATAAGATCCCTGAAGTTGCAAAGACTAAAGTCTCAAAACCAAATTGTAGAAAACGAAGCGTTTGAGAGAGGCGGGGTAGGTAGGACCTACAATAATGTACAGTATTTGAAAAATAATGTGTTTTTTGAACATTAAAGCATGTCAACATATTCTGTTACACCAAATACACAAAATAATGATCTTTAAAAAAGCATCATATGACCCCTTTAAAGAACAAATAGCTGTAATTTTGTTTAACATGAGCATTTTCTTCCACTTATCAGACCATTAATCGGGCAGCTTTGCTACTGTAGCTTTAAGGCTTATGTATGTAAATGACTATACATTAATTGGCAAGAATTGATTGGTCTTTTTTAAAGAACTATATCTCTGTCCTTAGACCCCACTGAAACCCCGCCTTCTGTGATGGACAGTTTCCAGTCAGGAGAAGTACAAGTGGGGCGAAGCATAGAGTTGCCCTGCATCGCCTCCGGTTACCCCAACCCCACCATCCGCTGGTTGAAAGATGGGAGGCCACTTCCTGCAGACTCCCGCTGGACACGGCGACTGACCGGCCTCACAATCAGCGACCTCCGTCTGGAAGACTCTGGAAACTACATCTGTGAAGTCACCAACAGCTTTGGCTCCAAAGAGGTCACAGGACACCTTAATGTCATCGGTGAGGAGAAAAGAAATAAAGGGCAAAAGGGAAAGAGGGGAGGTACAAGAAGAGGGACTGGTGATAGGACAGGAGTAAATGATGACAGATGTCACCAATAAACTGCTGGTGAGGGAAAAAGACAAGCTTTTCAAAAGTTCCAAGTTACCTTCACCTTGCCATAGATTCAAGCAAGATATGTTCTTTGATCAACGTCCTTGTAGGTCCCACATTCCTTTGAACTTGGATTTTAAGGTTAGGCATTCAGGGCTGTGAGAGGACCTTAGACATCACTCTTATGAGTCTGATAATGGAGAAAGGATTTTGTTCGCTACTTGGAATCTTCTTTCAGGACCAACTAAATATCTAGGAACATGTCCTACTTGGCAGAATCTTATCACCCATTTCGCTTCATTAAGTAGGACATATTCCTGGATCAACATCATTGTGCAGGAACAACATTCCTATTAAATAGTACTTAAGTTAGTTATGGGAAAAGAGCTGGTTGGAGCTTCAACATCTTTATTTTCAACCTACAGTAAAAGTAGGATTATAACTGTTTGTTTGACTTTTATGTTCTTACAGAACTAACAAAAGGTCCAGGAACATGTCCAACTTCAAAGTCACGTAGTCTATTCCCCAAAGCAGAAACCAAAAACTTATGGCAGGTGTCCTTATCCTTTTTCCAAGAGATCAACCTTCCTGTAGATTTAGTTCTAACCTTGCTTCCAATTAACCTACATGCAATTTTCAACTAAACCCAAGGAAATGTATTAACTGGCTCAGGCATATTGGAGTTTAAACTAAGCTCTGCGGGATGGTTTTTCTTCCTGAACAGGGATGAGGACATTTGCCCCAGGGATTTGGCTTGTCCTATGGGAGTACTCACCTTTCATAGTTCTGTAGAAGGGTTGACCCAAGAATTAAAACCTTGAGACCAGTGGATCTGGGTCACTTATAAGGGTTTATGGAGCAAATTGTTGGTCTATCTCTTACAAAGTCCTGAAATGTCCATACCTTTTCATCCAAATGAGAGGGTCCAGGTTATGTTGGTCCATCACCAGGCCGTTGGACCAATCTATTGCCCCAGATGTCCTGTGAAACTGTGTTATAGGGAGAGAGAGATATCAAATGTAGTGTACCAGGGAGTGAGTAAACGAGAAGCACATTTGGATTTAAGAGATGTTGGCACACTGGTCGGCCTCTGCCACCTTCTTGTTGACTTACAGAGAACGTAATATGAGAGGACATGAAGACTGTTCTGGCCTCTCCAGTCTGACCTTTGTTCCACCAGAAATGTGTGTGTGTTTTCAAGCAGGCTTGGGGATGGATCTTAGACCAGTGGGATGGTATTGGCTGGAGTCTTAATATGAAAGGAAGAGGGGAATAGAGGAAGGGGAGGTGGGGTGGACATTTGGACATTTAGCCAGTGGGCACATCACACCGGTGTGCTCACACAGATTCTGACAGAACAGGAGGGGAGGAGGGCACACGCACGCATACATGCCCAGACACACACACCATCACACACAGAGGCCTCCAGCACATAACACCAGCTGCCTTATTGCTCACTGACATTTTCTCTATCTATGTGTATGTCTGTCTGTTCTCTATCTATCTATCTATCTATCTATCTACACCATCATTTAAATTTTTAGACAAAACTTTACCCTCAGACTCAAATAATATTTTTCACTCTTACTTTCTCTTTCTCCACAGAGCCTCTAAGAGTCACATTATCCCCCAAGAACCTGAAAACAGGCATCAGCAGTACAGTGATTCTGTCCTGTGCCGTTCAGGGCTCGCCCCACTTCACCGTCTCCTGGTTTCGCAACACAGAACCCATCGTGCCTGACCAGTACTTCTCCATCCAGGGAGCCCACAACGAGACTCTCTTCATCACGGCAGCCCAAAAAAGACACTCAGGGGCATACCAGTGCTTCGCCACCCGCAAGGGTCAGACCGCACAGGACTTCTCCATCATACTGCTTGAGGGTGAGTGGAAAGAGTGGATAATGGAATAGCGCTGAAGGTTGTGGTTCTGATTCTAACTCTGCAGTGTACATTTATTTTTGGACATCAAAGTTCCACATTTAGATTATTATGACTTTTAAGCAAGTTACACTGTGTCCTACACAAGCACTACAAGATGTTTTCAGTAACAGGTAATCATTAAAGTGTTAGTTCACCCAAAAATGAAAATTAGTCCATGTTTTACTCATCCTCAAGGCATCCTAGGTGTATTTGACTTTCTTCTTTCAGACGAATCCAATCGGAGTTATATTAAAAATTGTCCTTGCTCTTCCAAGCTTTATAATGACATGGGCGGGCTTTTTGTTCAACAGTCTAAAAGTAGTCAAATAAAGCACATCCATCCATATTAAAACATGCCTCACATGGCTCCAGGGGGTGAACAAAGGCCTCCTGTAGCAAATCGATATGTGTTTTTGTAAGAAAAATATCCATATTTAAAACAATATAAACACCTTTATTTCACTTCGGCTAACTGTTGTAGGCGGAAGCCGTTCCGGCGGATGACGTAGGATGTAAGCGTAGCGCACGCGTCGGTGATTAGTGGCGAATGCGGAAGCGCGACAGAGAGAGAACAAAACAAAACACCGGTCACAAATTAGAAGTACAAAACAAGGATTTGTAAAGACAAATGTCGGAGGATTTCGATATATGCCAAGAGGAGACTGGTTTTCCTTTGGTAAAGTAAGAAACTTTGCTTCCTTTGCTCCTGTAAACAAATGTTGGTTTTCGTGAGACTCACACGCTCATGTGCTACACCTACGTCCAGCGGCATCCGCCGGAAAGGCAGTCTCTCGTGAACACACGTACGACAGTTAGCGGAAGTTAAACAAAACTGTTTATATTATTTTAAATATGGATATTTTGTTTTTACAAAAACGCATCAATTCGCTACAGGAGGCCTTTATTCACCCCCCGGAGCCGTGTGAGGTATGTTTTAATACGGATGTATGCGCTTTATTAGACTATTTGACTTTTGGAATGTTGAATGAAAACACTCGCCCATGCCATTATAAAGCTTGGAAGAGCAAGGACAATATAACTCCGATTGGATTCTTCTGAAAGGAGAAAGTAATATACACCTAGGATGCCTTGAGGGTGAGTAAAACATGGGCTAATTTAAATTTTTGGGTGAACTAACCCTTTAATGAATGTGAAACACTGCACGAAGCAACAGCAGAACACATTTGGTGTTTAATATGCTGTACATAAACTATTAGAAACCAAGCAACTGAAATGAAAAATTATTAATGGGTATTCATACTGACCGTGATTTGCAGCAAATAAGCAATTTTCAAAATTATTTCAAAATATATGACTATTAAAAATGAGGGCTAACAGAATAAAATAATTGTGCTAAATTAATTTGTGACAGTTTTAGAAAGCAGAGTCAAACAGTAATAATTTTATAAATATTATGTGTTTATTTATTTATTTTTTATTTAGCTGAAATTATCCACGGACCCTCAAGCACCCTCTTGCAGGGGTCCCCAGATTGTATACTGCTGGAATAAGTAAACTCGCATTTTGCAATTTTACAATTTAAATTTATTGCATGCAATTAAATGAACTTCAGACTAAATATTGAAGAATTATATTTTTATTAATTAAATTTAAACACACTCAACATTACTTGCTTTTTCCACATCATTCAGTCATTCAGAGGCAAGACAACATTAGTGACATAAAACATTAGTGACACTTTTAAACTCCTCTTGAAAAATTGAGCTGTTCTTATGAAATAAACATTTCAGCAGTGCACCATTCAAAGATTCTGAAGTCTTCTATCTATATTCCGCTCTTTTTCCTGTCAGACGGCACCCCACGGATCGTCTCGTCTTTCAGTGAGCGCGTAGTAGCCCCTGGCGAGCCCTTCTCTCTCATGTGCGCGGCCAAAGGCGCTCCACCCCCCACTATCACCTGGACGCTGGACGACGAGCCGGTAGCGCGGGACTCGGCGCACCGGGCCAGCCAGTACACGCTCTCCGACGGCTCCACTGTCTCGCACGTCAACGTCACAAACCCCCAGATCCGGGACGGGGGCGTGTACCGCTGCGCCGCACGCAACTCGGCCGGTAGCGCCGAGTACCAAGCGCGCATAAACGTAAGAGGTGCCTGTCTACTTTTCAATCTCAGACGTTTAGGGTTATAACCCGCCACCTCCCCGACCCTTGACCCCTGAACTCCTCCACCTCATCTCAAGTCCAGATATCATCGCTTCCTATCAACTCAAGTGTCATTGTGTATGTGTGTGGGTGGGGTGGGTGTGTGTATGTGTGTGGGTGGAGCGTCTTATGTTGTTTGTTCATCACAGTGCTGTCACCTGTGCGTTTTCTCATTCTTTCCACTGTCAGATCACCCGTTTGTGTTCTCGGTATCTTTCCACTTCTCCTGTTTGTCTCTCCATCTGCTGAGTCTTTGTTCCTCTCTTTCACACATACACGGTGTCTCTGTCTCGATGTCGCCGGCTGGCTGGCACACGTGTGGTGTCCTGGCTGTTCTGGGACAGAGTAGAGATCTGGCAGAAGGGAAACGCCATCACGCCAAAAGAGAAAAGAGACACGTCAGCTAAGAAACCAGATTGAGAGGACAGAAGACAAGTTTAAACAGTATAGAAGGGTAGAAATGAGAGGAAAAATACTTAAAGGTGCAGTAGGAGATTTTGGAAAATGCTAACTTTAGCCTGATAGCACTGAAAGCGAACGTCCCACCCTCTCTGCAATCGCCGTCCAAAGCCACGCCCCCTGAACGCATATACGCTGACAGTCCAGAATACCAGAGACAACATTTCTACAATAGGCTACGTCAGCGGTTCCCAATTCCAGTCCTCGCGCCCTTCCTGGAACACAGTTCATGCAAGTAGCTCTCTTCTAAAGAGCTGGTTATCTGAATCAGGTGTGTTAACTAAGCGAGACTTGAAAAATATGCAGGGGGGGTGGTGAGGACTGGAATTGGGAACCGCTGGGCTACTTCATGTATCATTCACCAGTGAGAAAACTTATACTACAGTTAGTAAAAGTACTACAATACCAGGAAGGAAGATCGGGTTGTTGATGTTTGTCTGCCATTCTCGCTCTGTCTGCACAGCGTACGTGAATGCGCTGATGACGTATCCTTTCTGCGCGAACAGGGGGCGCAGAGGTATGCTAATACATACGTTGACAGGCAAGTAGGAAAGCAAATTAAGATGCTCGGGCCAAGCGTTTTGATTGGACGAACATTTCTTGGTTCTACGTCTTCCACAGAATATATAAATACAGATAAATAAATTTAGACCACTTAACTTAATGATTGCTATCGGGATGTGAAGAGACTTTCAACCAGCATAACAAAAAAATTTTTTTGAAGACAATCACCTATTGCACCCTTAAAAACTCAAAGAAAAAACTCAAAGAAGAGAGGAGGATAGAAAGGTGAGGAAAAACTCAAAGTAGAGGAAAGGAGAGAAGTGGAGCAGACAAAAGACAAGAGGACACAAATGGGGAAGCAAGTCAGAGTGGACTAACACGAAATATGACTGATCACAGCTCATTTGTATGTGTAGTTTAGAAGTGTTTTTTATTATTATTAGAAGATAGAAGATTAGAAGACACCATAATAAAAGGCCAGTGGGAAAAAGAGCATTTAAAGTAGCGATTAAATGTTTTCATCTGTATTATTATATATTGTGATTTCTTCTTTTTTCCTCTCTAATTCTGTATGGATTATTGAAATAGTATGTACACCAGGGACTTGATTTTATCCATCAGTCACTGTTAGGATTTTGATATGTGGCCGTTTTGCTAAAAAATTCATGAAAACTTGTAGTCAGTTGTGGTTGGATGGTGTTTAAGTGGACTAAATTATGTTGAGAAGTCTGGTATTAAGTCTGTCGTTTCCCCGGAAAATCAAGTTATGACGAGTTATTATCAAGTTATGTAATTTTTGGGGATGCATACATTTACAAAGTAGATAGGGTGAATTTCATGCCAATGTTAAATACTATCTTTAGATTTTTCTAGACTTAGATTTTTCAATCTTTAGATTAGCAATGAGTAATGATTATTTCACAAAGTGGAATTCAAAGTTCTGCTCATGGTTACCTAGATAACTTGGTACTAAGTGCCTCAAAAAACTGATACTTTTTGGTACATTTGAAAGGGAGTAACAGTCTGACCTTGAATATCTTTTCAAGATATTCTGATGCCTCTTACCTGACAAACACTGACAATTCCAGTAATAATTTTATCCACAGAATCACTTGTTCTATCAACCCGATACCTTGTATACAAAGACTTCCAGTCAGACTGATAAATTCCATTGTGCCATTGCTCTCAAAGTTGCATTCAGTCAGTCAATCAGATTAAGTTTGCAAGATTGAGACAGTTTTGTGCATATTATGCATCAGACGGTCAGTGAACGGACTGTGGGCAGTCCATGGGCGTGTCGTCTGTGCCTCAGACTAAGAGTGATATTGAGTCTTGTTGACAGGCCTGTTGAATACACCCTCTCTTCCTCTCTCTCGCTCTCTGAAATGTTCAATTATGACATATCTGTCTGCTTTAAGGAGACATGCCAGAACAATCATTGCAGTGAGAATGAGACCCTGTGCCAGGGAGCCACAGTGTTGCACACACACGCTGAATGATACCAACGCTCATGGACACACTCATAGAGTCTTAAAACACTACTGCCTGACTAATACATTTTGACCACATTACGCTCATGAAAACCGTCAGCATTGACTTTCACACACACCCTATCCATATCACGCACACACTTTTATTCTTGAGATGATCGTTTCGCAACACAATATTTAACAAACACAGACACCCGTGAGCAATCAGGCCCCATTCTTCCTGTGAACAGCACAATAGCTGTGCTCAGTTCCTGTCTGGATCCTTATCTAAGTTCATACATTCATATATTATGTTTGAGAACAAAAGAAAAATAGAGAAATAGAAAGACAGCCAGAGAATAACTGTGAAGAAGAGAGAAGAGTGATACTGTGCGACAGTCTTCTTGAATAATACATCAGGGTTGACTTGTCAGAGCGGTGACTTCAAAGCACAACGCACGCTGAGCTGAGAGAAAGGGAGAGAGAGCAACAGAAGAAAAGAGAGAGATATGAGGATGAGGAGTGGGCTGTTAGGATGAGAATATTTGTGTGCAAAAAATCTACATATGCCCCATCGACGATTTATAAACCGATCCACCCTCCATTTTGAGGCAAACAAAATGTCCTTCTACAGTACATCTTCTCGTTCTTCTGGTTCCTCTGTTTTTTTTTACTTTTAAGCCACCTTGACTCAGTTCTGACTCTTTCTGTTTCTTTTTGCTCTGCATCTTCAGGCATTGGCCATTCAAATCTTCACAGTGTCCCACCATCCATTTGTTCGTACACCCCTCCATCCTCGTGTGTGATCTGAGAGCAGAGTCCTGAAGAAGTCAGCCTTCTCTTTTTGCCAAAACAAAGAAAACAAAACAAAACAAACACGAATCGGTCATTACTAACCTTTTCAAATTCGGCAATGACTGGTTATGCTAGAAAGAACCAGAAGCTGTTAGCATATGCTAATCACATTAAAGGGCATTCACACTGACAGCGATTTGCAGCAACAGAGTAAGTTGCAGCCATAGTTGGTGAGGTTACTAGAGACCAAAATTTGCGACAAATCTAAGCAAACTTTATGCAAATGCACAGCGACTACCAGACAGTGGAGCTTACATTATCTGCTTCACGATTGAGCAGGAATGCGTACTAGCAATCAAAACAAGCCTAAGGTTAAATTTAATTCAAATCAAGTTTATTTGTATAGTGCATTTCATATAGTGCATATCATTTCAGAGCTGCTTTACATGAGATGCATATCTCCACATTACAATTACGAGTAATTTGTTTTGAGAGGTGACTGTCAAAGCAATGTCCATATAGCAGAAATGAAAATTTCTACGATAATACAGTTAGTTAATGACATGTATTCAAGCAGAACACAATGAACACGATTAATTGAACACAATGACTACATGTTGTGATCATAATAATTACAATGTAAGGAAAATTTGGGAGTTTTGTTTATTTATTCAGACTTAGCGTTATCTGAGGTCCTCGCAAGAGGCCAGATCCAGACTGGAGCCTGTGCAGTCTAGTTATCTTGGGATGGGCATCCCGAGGTAGAAAGAGAAAAGCAAATATAGAATAATTAGCATAGCTGCTGTTCTTGACTTTTCAAGAAAAGAATAATCATGTGCATTTGATCAGATACTAGAGTACAAGTTTATGAGATGCATTATGTGAATGCTTGTCTAAAGAGATGTGTTTTTGATCTAGATTTAAACGGAGAGAGTGTGTCTGAGACCCAAACATTATCAGAAAGTTTATTCCAGAGTTTAGGAGTCAAATGCAAAAACACTCTCCTTTTGTGGACTTTGCTATCACAGGTACTACCAAAAGTTCAGAGTTTTGCGACCTTAAATAGTGTGATGGATTGTAGCATGATAGATGACTGGTTTTAGAAGTACACTAGAGCTTAACCATTTGGGGCCTTATAAGTAAGTAGCAATTATTTGTAATCGATACAGAACTTAATAGGTAGCCAGTGTAGAGATTGTAAAATTTGGGTGGTATGATCATATTTTCTTGACCTGGTAAGATCTCTAGCAGCTGCATTTTGGATTAACTGCATTTGGGTTTATTGAAGACGCAGCACAATCACTTGGTAGTGCCTTACAATAGTCCAGTCTAGAGGTCATGAATGCATGAACTTGATTTTCTACATAAGATGTTTTGCCGGCTTTAGTTGGTTGAAGCTGACTTAGCTAATCTCCTAGCCTAGCTAACATGGTGTTTACCTGTTTAAGCTGGACTTAAATGCTAAAAAGTACCCCAAAGCCACCAAAACAGACCAGCCTGACCTGACAAGCTATATATATTTATTTATTAATATTTTGTTGTTGTTGTTGTTGTTTCAGTAGGGCAGTACGGCGAGTTGACAAGCTCTAATGATAAATTTGCTGTCAGTGTGACCTTACACTTTACACAAGCAGCACAACATTATAGCCTTTATTGTTAAAAGCTATTCAGTAGTTGTTAGCATTTAGCTATTCAACCATAACTCTTTGATTTACCATGGCACAGTTTTGCTAAAGTAATTCTAAGGCCTCTGCTCTCACAGTCCTCAATCCTTTAAATGTGTGTTTTGGGACGTTGCTATGAAATGTGATGTTGTATTTTTACTCTGCCTACACAAACACATTAGGTTAGTATTTTATAGTTAAGATTACACCACACATTGCTTTACTATGAAATGCATTAACTTGGCGTATTAAGCTAACGGTACAGAAACACACCTTTGCTGAAATTATTTAAAGGCATGATCGTCTCTACGATATGTGCCTATGTGCTAAGCTATGATGAAGGATACGGTACAAGACACATTGAAACAGTAGATGCACACACCTATTACACCACATTCTCTGCTGTGAAGACCAAGAGCATTCTAACCCCTTCCTTCACATCCACCATTTGCTCTTTTCCTTTCTTCCGCCCACATTTCTCCCTTCTTTACCCCAAATACCCATGCAAAACCTGGTCTCCCATCTCCCTCTCATTCACTCCTTTCAATCTTCTCATTTACCCTTTTCTACCTGGCACATTCTCCCTCTTTTTTTGTCTTCCTCCGTTTCCCCCTCTCTCTCTCTCTCGCTCTCTCTTTCTTTCTCTTTCTTTTCTCTCTCTTGCAGGTCCTCCCAGTATCCGGGCCATGCGGAATATCACAGCTGTGGCCGGTCGCAACACTTTCATTAACTGTCGTGTGATTGGCTACCCTTATTACTCTATCAAGTGGTTCAAAGACGGGACAACGCCGTTGCCAGACAACCATCGTCAGGTGGTGTATGAGAATGGCACTCTGAAGTTGAGCGATGTGCAGAAGGGTGCGGATGAGGGGGCGTATCTGTGCAGCGTGCTCATCCAACCCCAGCTCTCCATTAGCCAGACTGTCTACGTCACAGTCAAAGGTTAGTGATTACTGCTAATGATTTTGGGGATGCTAATTGCCCCTTAAAAAAGCCACAAGCAAAACAAAACAAAAAGAGAAGGGCCCTCTACATTTGATTTGGGGCTGTTTATTCACAGGCTTTTAAGCGAGAAAAAAAAATCACACACATATATATATATATATATATATACAGTGGGTACGCAAAGATGTCAACAATTCTGTGTTTTTCTGTCAATATCGGGTGCTGTGTGTACATTAATGAGGAAAAAAAAGTAACTTAAATGATTTTAGCAAATGGCTGCAATATAACAAAGAGTGAAAAATTTAAGGGGGTCTGAATACTTTCCGTACCCACTGTATATACATTCACCGGCCACTTTATTAGGTACACCTGTTTAATTGCTTGGTCACACAAATTGCTAATCAGCCAATCACATGGCAGCAACTCAATGCATTTAGGCATCTAGATGTGGTGAAGACGACTTGCTGAAGTTCAAACTGAGCATCAGAATGGGGAAGAAAGGGAATTTAAGTGACTTTGAACGTGGAAAAGGTTAAAAAAACACATTATTTTCCACATACTGTACATTATTGTTTCTCCTCTATGCCCCGCCTTTCTGAAACGCGTCGATTTTTACAAAGCTCATCGGTCTGAAAAGCGAGGTGTGCTCTGATTGGCCAGCTATCCAGTGCGTTGTGATTGGCCGAATACCTCAAGCGTGTGATGGAAATGTTACACCCCTTACCATACTGTGATGGAGCGATGAGACAAAAACATTAAAACCCATTATAAACTAGGCATTTGTTGCATCCAGTGAGGACATAAACATAAAACCATGTCTGCATTTGGGATTGGAGAAATGGCAAACAACAAGCGCTACTCTACACTGCTCAAAACTTGCATTTGAATCATCAGTGGCAAATTATTTAAATATGAAAACTTACAGTCTGTGAGTCAGAACAGCACGAGCATTGTAGTCTACTCTGCCAGGAAACAGTCCTCCATAAAATGCGCTGCACACATCTGAATATTTGGGTTGAACTGTTGGGTACAACTTAACCAATGATTGCTAGTTGTGTCCTCTTTTGGAAGGCCAAACAAAGTAGTTTCGCTTTCACAACGAAAAACACAGCGGCCTAGCGTGAGCGAAAGCCCCGGCTTAGCCTGAGCTGAAGCCGGGCAAGAGTGAGCTGAGGCGGCGGGGTCGAGAACGGCGGTCCCGGCGAAGGAGCGGTGAAAACGGTGAAAGCCAATCCGGCGATCCACAGCACTAAGTTGAAGTATTCCCTCAGCGACCAGCACAGATCAGCTCTAGGCATAACGAAGCGGATATCGTCCTCTTTTGGAAGACAAAACAAAGTAGTTTCGCTTTCACAACGAAAAACACAGCGGCCTACCGTGTGCGAAAGCCCCGGCTTAGCCTGAGCTGAAGCCGGGCAAGAGTGAGCTGAGGCGACGGGGTCGAGAACGGCGGTCCCGGCAAAGGAGCGGTGAAAACGGTGAAAGCCAATCCGGCGATCCACAGCACTAAGTTGAAGTAAAGAGTGAGCTGAGGCGGCGGGGTCGAGAACGGCGGTCCCGGCAAAGGAGCGGTGAAAACGGTGAAAGCCAATCCGGCGATCCACAGCACTAAGTTGAAGTATTCCCTCAGCGACCAGCACAGATCAGCTCTAGGCATAACGAAGCGGATATCGTCCTCTTTTGGAAGACCAAACAAAGTAGCTTCGCTTTCACAACGAAGCACACAGCATCTTCAGGACATGGCGGCAGCGGCAACAACAAAACTACAGCGAGAATAAAAGTTACGCCTTCTTTCTTTGCGTGAACATTTGGGCGGCGTTATGCAAATCTTCCCACATAGTGAGGTAGATATGTGGGGGCGTGTTCGAACGAGCCGTTTTAGGTAGGTGTGGCTAACTCTTAACTTTTATAAAGAATATCTCTTTGGATTTGAGACTTTAGTCTTTGCAACTTTACAGATCTTCTTTATGCACCAAGAGCTTGTAACACTCCAAAGAGAAAGGAAAAAATGAAATCCCATCATATGACCCCTTTAA